TTCCAGAAATATTTCATACAGGCTGTCTCAAAAATATATACACACATTCAGTGAAAGAAATAAATACATTTTAATAAACTAAAACATTACATAGATACGTCAGCATTTGCATTTAGTGAATTAGCGAATCTAGTGTAGGTCTTCAAAACGACCCCAGTCCATGTCATATGCAAACACAACACACGGAGATCGATAAAGGACAATATTCCGCATTGCCACGAGCATTAATCTTTTTGGGGCATTCCGCGTAGGATTCGGCCAGCAGTCGCGCTCCACATTTTGCATTCCCCATCTAACGCAAGCATAATCCCCACCCCCCTGAAATTTACAACACAATTTAAGTGGCAAATGGCAAATGAAATGCGGTTCTTAAATGAAGTAGTATATTGAATAATGTGTTATCAGTAGCCTAGCTTGCACATGCAGCCTATATTTACACGAGAAATGTAAATAAACATATCCGCACCTCGTCTCAGTAAGGTTTCTCTCTTCCTGTCTACTAAGAAAAGTAGATCAATACAGATATTATACAAACAGAGTTTTATCAGTTAACTTAGTGTAAACGTATCATTCTTGAATTTCTTTCGGAGAATTATGTCTTACGGCCAACTTCAAGGAATTTTATAGATGTCTGACTGTTCTTCGTTCTACAATTTCCCAAAATATTTCTACGTATTCTATCCACGCCACATTTATTGACTCTTACTATTAATTATCACCATTCTAAATGTTTCAAGTGTACAGTTGTTCGTTCTGTTGTAGTATCAGACGAGAAAACAGATTACGAAAAGTTGTCACACAGTCATAAACATTCTTAACCCTGTCAGTGTCAATCATTCTCACAAATAGTTTGAAAATCTGCATCAAACAGCAAAGAAGTTCGTATTAAGATTCGTTTTAGAAACAGTAGTCATACAGGGTCACTAAATGAGTCTTAGAATACATGCAAGTCTCAATGTTACAACGACAAAAGAGGCCTGTCATACTTTTAGGAATTAATAAATATAGCACGAACCAGGTTCTTTTCAAAGTTCTGATTAAACATATTATAGCAGACCAACAAGTAGCAGATGAATGCACCACTGGCAGTGTTAATAGATAATTGATTCTACACATGGGGTTTCTTCGACGATGATGCCGGTAGAGGGGTTGTGTTATAGGGTTGCGCGCGGTGGTGTGTTGATACGGGGGATGGAGAGAGAGGATCAGATGCTGTGCACAGTTGGGAGGAAAAAACATCCCTCTCACTCTTTCACTCAGTGATAAACAGAGAGGTTACGACGCGGATGGGGGGATGTTTGATTCTTCAGTTCGCGCGGTGGCCTACACAGCGACCTGAGGGGTGGCTTTAATTTAACCCCCGTAAAGACTTCAGTATCACGTGTGACGCAACTGAATTCGTACGAGTATTTTCTCATACAGCGGTGCAGTGAAGAAACCAACTGTGAAATCAAACAAACAAAACCACCCTCGAAATTACGCGGTTACGTTGCGTGTTCATATTAACTTAAACATTTCTTTGTAAAGCGTTCAATAAGTTTAAAATAATTGCAGCAAAGTATTAAACATCATCGCTTTTTGATAACAGTGGTTTGTTCTGTATAGGTGAAAAATGTGAAACAAGTTATTAATAAGTAAACTTCAGTGATATTCTTCCAATGTGTGTTTGTATACAAGTAAAATGCAGGTCCAGTACATATTCTTTGTAGTTCTAAATGTAACCATTAAGGGCTTTCTAAATCTCAGAACATTTTAGAATTACTAAAAAAACGGTTTGTATAAATAGTGGTCAGAGCGTAACTCTGCTGGTTCTAGACATAAAACAAACAGTGAACATGTTTTCTGGTGTTTAATATTAAACGCAAGGCGAATTGTCGCGGTACTCTGGAAATGCAAATGGAATAAGAGATGAAAATGCTTTGTTTAAACACAGACACTATGGTATGAATTCAGTAGTTCTATTCAAGTACAAAAATGTACGTACCGAGTTGCCAGCAATTAGAGTTTCAACTGAGAAATATTTGTAAGAATCAAAAAATGTCGCAAATAAACCATTCAGAGTCTAATGTCACGAATCTAAAGGTACCATAATATCCAGAAATATCTAACCCTTGCCTAAAATCAAAAGAAACAGACGAACTTCAAAACACGCATTTACGTGTCTAGTTACTGAAGTTTTCAAATAAACGTAACTAATTCAATTAGACATAAAATTTTGAATTCGTTATTCAGATATCACAAAATAATAGGCCTAATTATCTAAATGGTGACGTATGGCATCAGGATACTTTAACTTATAACACTTTGCATTTAAAAACACCATATTAAGAACCAACAAGTCTTAGCATACAATTATATAATAACAGAGAACATTCTTTTATTGATTTTTCCCCACATCCGGACAACTTATGTTTTATTCCTGGACAAAAAACTAACAACAGAATTCACATTTTAATTTTGTTCTCCCTGTAAAGTAACGTGATTCAGCACAGGGCATAATACGATAGCGGAGGAAGTCGAATTTGTTGTAATCGATGTGAGAAGTGTAAGGAATGTAACTCAATACTACGAGAGCTATGGTATCATACGTGGAACATGTGGACCGGCAGTCTGTGAGGGGAAAGGTCATCTGAATCTCGTGAACCGTGAGAATACTCGACAGTCGATACGAAATCCTGTTCTGATGACTGAAGATGTAAGGTGATCGTCATGTGGCGCCTACCGCCGGGGTGTACGGCGGATGACCTGTTGAACGCTCGGCGCCTAGCCACAGCCGTGGTGCACCAAGAGCGTCATCGGGTGCCCCAGGTTCAAGACGGCAGAGCGGCAAGCAAGCTGACGCCCACAGCTGCCGCGGCAGCCATGCTTTACAACGGTGCGGTCAAGATGACTAAAAATTCGTCAAGAAACGTAGAATATCGTAATAATCTAAATTAGCTTTAACAGAACTGAAGAGTTGTGTTAATGGGAAAAAATATCAGTTTTCTCAAGTCCCTTTCTCTGTCAATAACAGGATCCAAACTACTTGGCCGAATTCAACTAAACTCTGTATAATAGGTCGACATAAACTTTTATCAATCCGCCTTGATTTTAGTTTAATTTGGATCACTTTAAGGGAACGCTGGTCAGTATTTACCAGACTACACGGCACGACAATCCAGATAACATTTTACCATTTTTAATGATTTATCAAATTGATGTTGATCGGTATTTTATCCTTGTAGCCTAAAAGAGTGGTATTCAACCTGGGGTACGCGTACCCCCGGGGATACGCGAAGACATCTTCGGGGGTACGTGAAATTTAAAAAAACAACAACATATTTTATGATAATCACTGAATAATCAGTAATGTAATTTATTTAATTTATTTTAGATGTAGATTATATACTATGTATAACTTGAATTATACACCAACAACTTTGGGGGTACAAAGTTGAAGAGAAATTATATCTGGGGGTACGCGAACAAAAAAAGGTTGAATACCACTGGCCTAAAATATGTATCAGGCTTATTTTCCGTTAGTTTTAAACTGGAAAAAAACGACGTAAGCCACACAGTGACGAATGTGTGATAATTATCAAAAGACAAACGTACAGGCAAGCCGTGGGACTATATTACGCCTATTTTAAAAGCAAACTCGTAAGGAAGGGACGTTGCCAGTAAGGAGTACGTGTTAATAGGACTTTCTCTCCAGGCCTGGTAAGGTTAACCTAAACAGTATTCACATGATCGAGAAAGACTGACCCAAAGCAGACATAGCTAATCCGTCCATGAAGTTTTTCGTCTCGTTCTCAATGATAACGCGTTTACAGATCTGTTGTAGAGAAAATGTGAGGCAGGAGGCAGTAGGGATGTGATGACCATTGGCAGATAAATCTACTGAGCTACTGGTTCACCCCTACACGGGCCTATTCTTAGGATCATTTGCTTTGATCATACGAGTAGGTATGTCGAGTAGGCAAATGGAAACAACATTAAAACAACAAATGAGGCCTATCTATAGAGCAGGCCTGTTCAGAGCAGAATATCAGGGCACATTTAATTCAGAATCAATTATCTTCTTGTCTGACCAAACACCTAAATATTCTTTCTGGCTTGATTACAATGAAACGAGAAG